GTGGTGACTGTGACAGTGGTGCTCCCGAGGTCCACCTCAGCCTGTGGTGACTGTGACAGTGGTGCCCCGAGGTCCACCTCAGCTCGTGGCGAATGTGCCGCTCTCCGCCCGCAGGCAGCCGGGGATGAGCCTCTTCGTGCCGTCGCCCAACTGCGACAGCCTGGTGGCCATGGTGCGCATGCGCCTGCACGCTCGCTACAGCTCGTGAGTGACGCTCGAGGAAGGGGCTGGGGGACACCGGAGGTCGGGTCACAGCCGCTGGGAGGACCGAGAGGCACGTGCTCCCTGGAGTCCGTAGGGGAGAGATGTCTGGCTGGTGACCTGGCATGGCCTGGTGAAGGACTTACCTCGCCTCGCTGCCTTGTGCTCTAAACGGGGTTGTATAGTGTGCCGCGGCGGAACCTCCCGCAACCGGTCATTTGGTGTTTTTCATCGTCGCTCGACTATGGTCAATCTTCAGGTTGCTGAACGGACCGGTGGCATCCTTTCCCTTCAGTCATGTTGATGCTCAGCACGGTATCCCGGTTTCCAGCTAGCTCTCCAGACCTCCTCCAGACAGCTTGCCGCCGTCGATGGCCCCCTACACTGTGTTCACCATCCCCATCCCCATTGGGGTGGCTGATAATTTGTGTACCGTAGCACGTAAATGGTCTGGTCATTGGCGTTGGCAGCCCTGGGACGTCACGGAACCAACTGCGCGAGTTGGACCAAGGTCACGGGTCCAGCGGTTTGAAGGAGAATGGTATATTTCAGGCCGAAATTGAAATTCGCACGTGCGGGTTTGGATTGGGTGTGTCTGACTCGCACCGCACAGACAGTTATCCCTGTGTTTTTGAAACAGACAGTTTATTACTGGATTGGCTATTTTGGGGATTTTTCTTCGGGCCCTCGCCCGCAGCAACTGAACACGTGTCATCGGTTTGCTTTGGCTCCAGCGAACTACGGCCGTAGCAATTGTGCGGGTCACATTAAGACTTAATTCTGTCTTCGTGTCAGAACGTACCTGATCTTGTTTTTACCAACGTGGCATCCAAAACAATCCAGATTAAAGGGCGTGCAGTCAGCTTGGCAGTCGGCGTGGGCGATAAATGTCGGCTGATGCCAGCAGCGCTATATCTTGCCGACAGACTTAAAGCCAATTTGTGTGACTTCAAGCTGATTTGTTTAAACGTTCGCGGACTTACGTTCGCTGCCCCGGGACATGGAGCGATACTGTTCGCGTTGAGACAGGCTTTTTTGCACCAGAACTGTATTCGGAATGAATTGCTGGTTGTATGTTTTGACCGCTGCCGGCGTCTTGCCAAGTGTCGTATGCGTGACACCCAGTCCTGTGGATTGTCTGCAGAGCATGCTTGTGGCGGCCCCCAAAGTGCCCCTCCCCCTGAGCATTCCCCCGTCGGCAGGTACGCGGCCGTCGGGTATGAGGCGCTGTACGCACGGCCGCCGGTGGTGTACGTCAGCGCCGCCTGCCGGCCGGCGGCCGTAACCGCGCTGATGACGTCACTGGGCCTGCCCGGCGGCGCCGTGCGCCAGGTGCCGCTGAGCGCCGCCTTCGGACTGGCACACGCAATGGACGTGGCGCAGCTGCAGCGCATGATGGACGAGGACGAGAGCGCGCAGAAGGTGCCGCTGCTGGTGATGCGCACGCAGGTGAGAGCCGCGCCGCCGCGCGAGAGCGAGAGGCCGGCCGTTTGGTGGTGCTGTTCCCGGCGCGCCGCACCGCCGCTGCTGTGTCGGTGTGCGTGTTGGTAATGCGACAAGTGCCTGTCCTGGGTTCCTCCATGCATGGTAGGACGGCTCCGGACAATTCAGGTCTTGTCGATTATCATGCTATAGTTAGTGGTTACTTTACAGCCATATATGGCCTGATCTAAAACCCGTGAGGCCCCCACTGCCACAGCGCTGTCGAATACCACGACTGCCATGCGGCTTAGCCATCTCACACACGGCTGCATTTAGACGCGCCTGGTTGCTCGACAATAGCGACCCCTCGCCCGTCCGCTAACCCGCCGGCCGGCTGACCCGACACCACGTGGCCCGGCAGGCACGCCAGACCTAGGTCACGTGGACAACCTGCGCCGCGTCACCGAGCTGTGCCGCGAGCGCGGCGTCTGGTGCCACGTGACTGGACCCAGCCTGGCGGCGCTGGCGCTGGCGGCCGTCGCGGCAGCCTCCGATGGAGCTGACGCTGGGTCAGTGGCGAGCTGACAGGCCGGCCAGCCGAGGCCGGCCGCCGGGCCGGCAGCGCGGCCGGTTCTCTGGACGGTCCGCAGCGTCCAGGCCCGTGCCTGGGCCATGGGTCGGCGTTCTTAACAGCATGGTTATGCGGTTATTGGCGGTAGTGAGGGTGTCGGCGCGAGGTTCACCGTACGGTCAGAGAGATTCCTGCAGGGGGATTCGAACCTGGCCGGAGATTCAGAGGGTGATCAGGTAGTGATGCGTGATCCGCCGCATCTGCCCTGAACAGATCGTCAGGCCCCTGAACAGATCGTCAGGCCCGGAACAGATCGTCAGCGGGGGGGGGGGGGGCATGGAGGATGCTGCGACTGAAATATGGCTTGTGGTTAAGTTAAGATACCTGTGCAATGATTAAGTAATGTTTTTTGAAATGTTGAATTATTTTGTTAATGCTGAAAAAGCCAAATCACGTGCAGGCACTTTAGCGATTAAATTTTGTCGCTGTGGACGCCAGCAACGTCATTGTGCCGCGCTCGTTGTGTGTTACCCGGTGTGATCTTCTCTAATCCCTGTTATCACACACACACGAGGGCATCTTTCACCACCCCAACTAACGTGGGAAGTCCGAACTGAACTGAACTGTAGGACACGCGCCGGCACTAACTGGCACCAGCTATCACCAGCACCAGCGTTGCTAAGCTCCAGCAGTCAACAGCTGACCTACCTCCGGTGGGGCGGCCCAAAGGTCCCCTTTTCCGACCCAGTCCCTCGGCCGTCCGCTGTCGGCCGCCGGGTACAGGGCCGACACGTGACCGGTGGCGGGCTGACACGTGACCGGTGGCGGGGGCCGACATGTGACCGGTGGCGGGGCCGACACGTGACCGGTGGCGGGGCCGACACGTGACCGGTGGCGGGGCCGACACGTGACCGGTGGCGGGGACGTTACGTGACCGATGGCCCGGACGTCACGTGACCGGTGGCCGGGACGTCACGTGACCGGTGGCCGGGCCAACACTTGACCGGTGGCGGGGCCGACAGGTGACTCGCTGAGCCTGGAGCTGGGTGCCTGGCTGGAGGTGCCTGCCTGGCGCGGCGGTGACGCTGTTCCGGGGCCCATTGGCCGGGCAGCCGGCCGGCCTGCCGCCGCCGCGCCCACCCTGCTGCAGGTCATGCCGCCTCTGGACGGCGCTGCTGGTGAGAGCACCGCCGCGCGCAGCGCTGGGGCGCGCCTGGGACTGCCCTGTCATTCGGGGTAGTATGGTCCGTCGTGGTCCACTGTGGTCTGCTCGGAAACACTCTGAATTACTCTGGAACACCGCGGCCTGTTCTAAAACACTGAATTATTCTGAAACACTGGCTTGCCTGAAACATCTGGTGTGTGCCCCCGTATTATTGGCATTCACTCACCCTGGTCTGGTCCACCCTGGTCACCACCCTGGTTCATTGACCGGCCCTGGTCCTCTCTGGTCTCGCCTGGTCTCTCTTGGTCAGCGTTGGTCTACTCACATGAGTCACCCGTACATGTGGCGGCCGCTCCTGCAGCTTTGGCGCGACCCAGACGCCCTGCACCCAGTCGTGCTCTTTTCATTGGGTCTGTGTGCAGCTCTTTTGGGACGAGTGCCGCTCGTATTGGGGACGCGTCGCTTCCAGACGTGCGTTGTGTGCCTATGGAGCCAAGTATGCAGTTCCTGGCCAAAGTGCTTTTCACTCCAGGCTGCGTGATATTCAACAGCTGTATACACTTGTACAGTTTTGTAAACTGGGCCACTTTGCGAGCGTGCCGTGTAATTGTAGCGTCCTGCGACGCTGGAAGATGCTCCCGAGTGACGTACATCTGCTACCCTGGTCACGACTGGCGTCTGTACCATGTATGTACCCTAGGCCGTGATGGCAAGTGCTGTCGTACCGGCTGAACCTCTCCCTTTATATGTCGTCTGTAGTAATGTCCTTTCCTTTTCCGTTCAGTCATCAGCTATCCGCTTTCAACAACTTTAATTCCGCGATTCTCGTCGCCCGACCCTTCCTTCTCCGTAATGCCTGCTTTGTCACGGCGTGTGTTGTCTCGCGCTGCTCTTCGCAGTCCCTGTCGTGTGTCCCGTGCTCGTCACAGTCCCTGTCGTGTGTCTCGTTCTCGTCACAGTCCCTGTTGTGCGTCCCGTTCTCGTCACAGTCCCTGCCGTGTGTCCTGTCCCTCGTCGCAGTCTCGTTCGCGTGTCCTGCCCTCGTCACAGTCCCTGCCGTGTGTCCTGTCCTCGTCGCAGTCCCTGTCGCGTGTCCTGCCCTCGGCTCAGTACCTGCCGTGTGTCCTGTCCTCGTCGCAGTCCTTGTCGCGTTGTCCTGCCCTCGGCTCAGTACCTGCCGTGTGTCCTGCCCTCGGCTCAGTACCTGCCGTGTGTCCTGCCCTCGGCTCAGTACCTGCCGTGTGTCCTGTCCTCGTTCGCAGTCCTTGTCGCGTGTCCTGCCCTCGGCTCAGTGCCTGCCTTGTGTTCTGCCCTCGGCTCAGTCCCTGCCGTGTGCCCTGCTCTCGGCTCAGTACCTGCCGTGTGTCCTGCCCTCGGCTCAGTACCTGCCGTGTGTCCTGTTCTCGTCGCAGTCCTTGTCGCGTGTCCTGCCCTCGGCTCAGTACCTGCCGTGTGTCCTGCCCTCGGCTTAGTCCCTGCCGTGTGTCCTGCTCTCGGCTCAGTCCCCTGCCGTGTGTCTTGCCCCCACCGCAATTCTTGTCGTTTGTCCTGCCCTCCGTCACAGTCCCTGGGCCACCGCACTGTCGCGGTTGCACGAAGTGTCTGAACCCCTTATGTTGCGGTGTGTGATCCAGTCTGTGGACCGCCCCGCGATGCAGTCTGTGGTGGTCTGTTGTGCAGTCTGTGATGCCGTCTGTTGTGAGTCTGACGCGTCCCGTCTCCGCAGTCTCTGGGCCGCCGCGGTGTGGTGGAGCGGATCCACTCTGCGCTGGCGCTTGCCGCCGCTATCGAGTGCAGAGTGACGGCCGTCCCCAAGCTGCAGCTCCTCGTAAGTACCGAGCATGCCGACCCGCCAGAGGTGCCCGGTGATCCCATCTGGAGCTGAGACGCCCCCACCTGGTGATGAGGCTCCCGGTGCGGGCGCGGGATGGTGGGGACACTCTGATATCAAGGGAGGTGTCCGGACGTTTATTTGCATTGCAATACATTTGCATTTAGACGTTATGAAAAGTTTGATGTTCAATCCACTTCGCGCATTATCCCTACAACAAGGGCGCGCATACACACCCGTGCGTTGATATGAAGACCTTTGGTGCAGGAGGTCACAACCGTGTGGAGCTGTGATCATTTGCGCAAACTGTATTTCTGTTGTAGCGGGCTGTGCTGGGCCGAGACCTCTAGTTTACCTCAGTCGCGAGTTGCCACCGAGTCAGATGAGGCGAACATGGGCTGTCGTGAACCGGGGCGGAGCGAGGCGGCGGGCTAGGCAGGCCTTCAGTCTGCCAACTGAGAGTGTTGTAGCTTCAGCAGCCCGGCTGAGCAAGTACGCCTTTCAGGACCGTTTATCTTGCCATCACTGGTCGCATTGCCATGGCGTTTTCGGTAACGAGTGGCTCAATTATTTAAAGGCCGTCCTGTACTATTTGCGATGCACTTGAATGCAGGCTGTCAGATCAGGCGGTTTCACGAAAACAAGTTGAAGAATGCGGCCCGGGGGCAGGTGCCCATCTCGGCCGACAGGTATCCGAACGACCTAGGCTTAAACTGACGGGCAGGAAACACAATCGGCTGAAGGAGTACTGGTCGAATGGTCAGAACATCGGACTCCAGCCGGGGGCCCGGGTTCGAATCCCAGCGGAGCTATTGTTCCTAAGTGATGACTTGCGGGCCGTTGCAGTCGCTGTCGCTCCATGGGGTTGTGACAAGGGTCGTGACGACGTGCGTCAGGGCGACGTGCGTTGCCGTTTTGAGGTCAGATTGCGCCACCGAATTCCAATTTGACCTCCCAGTGCCGATTTGCCTCCTGTCCCAGCGACGTAGCTACACCCATGCTGCGACCCAGACAGATTGGGGCATGAAAACTACGTTGTCGAGCTCAGTTTGTTGTGAGCAATATCTGCATCGAACGTTAGCGTTCGTTTCTCAATAGATTCGCCTCAGTCGCCAAAAAGTATGAACTATTTGAATGTAATTCACTTTGTCTATGAAAATTACCAGAGGTGGCAGGCCCAAAAGTAGTCACTATTCCAGTATTGTATAAATAAAGAAATATATGTATATATACACACATACACATGTACGTATACATATATATATCTGCATATACATATATAGACATGTATATACATATATATATATATATATATATATATATATGTATATGCATATATATATATATATATATATATATATTATATATATATATAGATGATGCCCTAATTGCGAATATATTAGCGCACCTACGACCCGTCAAACTTTAAAGAAAATGGAACCTCACAACGCATTAACCAGCCCTATGTGCGCGATTGCCGAAGGTGACAGGCTCCATTCGCTTACGTTTAGGTATCACCTGGATGGCGAAAGCAATTGCTTTGGGTATCACATCACTCGTCCCACTCCGCAAAAAAAAATGTTGGTCATGTTTCGTCGGATGTTGCCTCTGGTTGGGTTCAGGCAGATGTATTGGTTCGGTTGCATTTAGAAGTGTCTTTCATGTAAGCGCTCCCATGACATACGCCATCTCGTCTGTTTTATTCTCTATTTTCGTTTCATTTGGACTTCCTTTGTCAGATTTGAGACGTGACGTTGTGCTTGGCTTGAGTTTGGGACGCGCCCTAACAATAAAACGGCCTGGACCGAGCCATCAGCATGAAGTTATAACCTGTAAGTTATTAAATGTAAGACGTTCATTACACAGCATCGTCTGTACGACACAAATCATGCCCTAAAGTATATTTGCGTTGGCCCGCGTGGGGGCTGCCTCGCCTGGTGTGCCTTGGATCAGGAGAAGTTGACGTAGCTGTAGCGGATTTTAACGCGTGACGAGATAGGCATTGTATGCTTTCCGTGGTGTGCTTTTTTAAACGTGTCGCCTTGCGTCATGCTCCCGTCATCCCGTCAAAAATCCCGAGGTATGTTATTTTCAAACACCGCAGAGTATGTACAGTGGTGCTACCCAACTTATAGCAAGAGGGACATGGTGGGTACATGCACCTACCATGTACAAGTACATGGTAGGTGCTACCCAACTTATAGCAAGAGGGACACTTTCTCACAACTCAGGTACTGTCTGTCCGTGGGCCTGCATTGGGCCTCCTCGCCTCCCCCTCCCCCCCCCCCCCCCCCACATAGTGCTGTGCTGCGTTGTGATGTTACGGTGACGTTCGTGCCCTTTCGCCGTCTCGCAGGCGTGATTTTATCCGCCCGACTATTTAAGCCTCCAATGACTACACAGGGGACATGTATCAACGACACACACACATACGGACCATGCACACATCACCGCTTGGAGAACACAACTGATCTGGTCAGCGAGTTCCCGTGAAGTGGTCGTACAATCTCGTCAGCGTTAGGTGTAATCACGGCAATCAATATGCAAAGTACAGTACATCCTGCAGCACTGGTCGGGATGTTTTGATCACCCTTCCGTCTTGCGCCGCGCTCTGCGTACTCGGTCTAGTGGTACCGGACGCGGTACCCGCGGGAGCCAGTCTTCGCGTTGTAGTCGACCTGGACGCTGCTGTGGGGCAGCTGTACATAGTAGCCACCCCGCGTCCCGTGCTGGTCCCGGATCTCGTACTTGCCCTGGGGGATGTCAGATAGGTCAGCGTGAGGTTAACTGGGGGAGGGGCGCGGGGGGGGGACCCTGCGGCGATGGTGGACTGGCTGCAGGCGGTCGGCAATTGCACGAGACGCGGGTTGGCTTCAGCCGGAGTGCGCTCGGTCGACGATCGCCGTACTCACCACTATTTTGCATTTGGATGCGATTTACATTGTCTTGTTTTTGTACATCACGGTCATCTAAGAATAGCGGTGCATAGCTCTTCCCGTGAACAGTGAGGAGATCCGGTTGTCGGGGCCAGCTATCACCCGGTGTCCCACACTTGGGTCGTCGCACCTGACGCGCCCCGGACCAGGGGTAGCGGATGTTGTAGCTGTAGCGGTAGCTCTTGCCGTGGTCGTGCGGGTGATGAACGGGGGGACGGTGGCGGTGGACGCCGTGCGGGACAGGGTGCCTGTGGTAGTACCGACCATGGCACAGTGCCACCCAGGCCACCAGGTAGAGAAGCAACAGGAACTGATGGAAGAAGACAGACTGTTTAGTGTCACGGGCAAACATTGCTTTTCTAGGGCGGTAACAATTGGCATGTTCAGTGACACTGGCAAACTTTTTTCGGTTGGGCAGTGACAACTGGAATGCTTGGTAACACGGGCAAACATTTTTCGGTAGGGCAGTGACAACTGGGATGCTTGGTGACACTGGCAAACTTTTTTCGGTAGGGCAGTGACAACTGGGATGCTTGGTGACACTGGCAAACATTTTTCGGTAGGGCAGTGACAACTGGGATGCTTGGTGACACTGGCAAACTTTTTTCGGTAGGGCAGTGACAACTGGGATGCTTGGTGACACGGGCAAACATTTTTCGGTAGGGCAGTGGCAATTGGCGTGTTCAGCTACACGGATACTTTTCTCTAGGGTGGCAGCAATTGACATGTTCGGCGACACGGGCAAATATGTTTCGGTACGGCACCAGCAATTGGCATGGAAGAACCCACGTGACGCAGCTGAAGGAGCTTCCTAACCGTGTGTTTACCGTACATGCGATCTGGCGTGGCTGAAGTTGGTAGCAGTTTTTGAAACGCTAATTGCCATCACCTGGCACGAGCCATCCGATCATCCGAAAGTAAAACGGTTTTCAGATGTTCAAGTATTGGCTTTCTGAGGTCTTCCACGCGTCCCGTTCGCTCAGCTTCATATTTGCGGCGCGTTTTGTGCCATAGTTGGGGAAGTAAGGTCTGGTGGTGCTGGCTATCCGGCCATCGTATTTGTGCCGTTCGGGGTGTGCGGAGATTTGCCCGAATACCGGGCTTGGTTTCTCCGTGACTGGCTGTCGCGTTCGCATGTCTGTCTGAGCATCTGTGTCCCAATGCTGGATTGCCCTGCCGTCTTTTGCGCTAAGCACTGCGCAGAGGTCTCCCCTGTCCCGTAATGGTGAACAGTATAGTGCGGAGGGAAATTAAATGCACCGTTATGGGGGGAGCGGTGACGATGTTGGAGTCCTTGATGCAAGGTGGCTGGGAAAGGTAAAGGGAGATGTCTGCTCGTTTTTCGCGCCGCTGTGGGCTGGCATTTAATTTGAAAAGGGTGGGAACACTCCGGCATGGCCTACTACCCTTTCCCTGGATACAATTTAGTTTAATCCCCAGACTTGAGTTTAGTTTGCAGGAATAACTGCAACTCTGGCGCTCGCGTTGAAGTGACTTACTGTGGTTGACTACAGTGGAATGCGGCTCGATGTCAATTTAATTGTGAAGACTGTTAATGGTCAACGCTATCTGTGATGTGGTTGTTAGCTGGTCCTGTATCCGGGATATTCTCCGTGGCTGTTGCGGCCGTTCAGCAGCGTGAGGGATGTGAAGGGGCCGGCCGGTGTTGTGACCTGTGTCACTGACGGTCGTCTGCGCCGTCGCCAGAGCGCCCGGCCCGGCAAGGAGGTGGCTCCGGTGGCCGACATCGACAAACTGCTCTCCCAGTCCGTCAACTTCACGGGTAAGCCCGCCGGCCCCGCCCCCGGCACCGGACCGACGCCCCCCGATCAGGACCGACACCTCACAGTGAGCCCGCCGGGCCCCCGCCCCGGCGCGGCGCGGCGGCGCCCTCGCGGTAAGCCCGCTGGGCCCCCGCCCCGGCGCCGGACCGACACCCCCGACCAGGACCGACACCTCACAGTAAGCCCGTCGGCCCCCGTCCCGGTGTGGCGCGGCAGCGCCCACGCGTCTGTCGGGGTCGAGGGGCCGGCGCGCCCCAGCCTGTGGGCTCTGAGGAGCTCCGTGTCCAGGACCGGTCGGACTGCCGCCTCGCAACGGCAGCTGAGACCACGCCTGGCAACAGGCCGGCCGGGTGCGGCTTCAGTCCAGCTCAGATTCCTCCGGCCCTGCCGTTTAGAACTGGGATGCAGGTAGTTGCGTAGGCTTTCTCATGCTTGGGTCATGAATTGTGTTCAGCACTCGGTAGGTCAAGATTAAGAATGCCTAGCTGAAGACCAAACTAGCACCCACTACCGGAGTTCCTTCGCCAGCTAATTGCAACAGATGAACAAACATTTCGGTCAGAACAACAGTCGAAGTCGGTGGAGATAACTCGAACGAACCCTTTCTGTCCGCGTCGTGGTGGGGATGGGGGGGGGGGGGGGGGCGTTTCCCATGCATTTCCTTGCTGTTCAAGCGTTCAGCCAAGGACAGGTCTCAGAAGTACTACACTTGACTCGTGCTGAGTCGTCAGTGCATCGGGAAATAATACGAGGGTTTGTTGATGGCGTCATATTATTTAGATTAAACAGATTACTATCATGTCACCACTACAGTGCAGAATGTTGCAAACTGCTAATTTTGCTTGAAACACATAACAGACCGGCGAGGAGTATAGCGTTTGTAGTGACCTGGAGGCGTTGTCTGATCGTGTATGAGTGTTATCATCTGGGTGACCAGTTTTCTAGCTTTGGCAAATCATTCGACCGCAAATTCTAAAGCCTTTGCTGATTTGTTTGTGATATCAGTAGTGCGGTTGGAACTGATGGATCGTCCAATGCAAAGAAAGGAGAAATATGAATGTATGTAACGAGATATATTTTTTGGGTGGTGGGCAGTGCAAAACACCTGTGGTTCCGTACAGCTGTGGCGGTGCTCGAACCTGAAAGACACGTTCGCCTTGTGTACGGTCATCGGTGGCAGCTGTGCCTTGCCAGTGGTGCCACTCTGATCGGCGCCGCCGATGTCGACAGCTCAGTTTTGTGAAAGAAGTTGAGATCTCTGCGATGGACCTGGAGCTGTACAGTGTCAGGCAAGGCGTGCCAGCGGATTACCTTCTTCCCACGCAAAACAAAACATTACCAACGCTTTCGCTTATCTCTTACCATTAAGGAGTACCGCTTCCTGTTGGGTCGTGTCGGTATTGGTTTTGTTGTCGTGCGCTCTCCTGTTTTAGTGTATTCTCCGACACAGTATACTAAACTTTGCGCATAGAGCTAACAATACGATGAGCGCGGCGCCAGTGTCGACGCCCAGAGGCGGAATGAGGCGGCGTCGCCTCGACCGATTCTGGCTTTGGGGCAAAGGTCAACGCCACGTAAAGGTCACGCCCGCATGGCATGGCGGGGGGCGGGGACTAGCGAAAGAGCTGACTAGCGAGAGTTGGTCAAAATGTGTCGAAATAAAGGAGTTGTATCGAACTTTTTATGTCATTTTCGTTTGTTTTTTTTCCACCAGTTGTAAACCCCATGCTGATAGCCAAGTCTAAAGGGAGCGTCGTTAAATGTTCAACAAAAAAGGAATGGTGGATGGTGGGCGAGTATATCAGCTATCAGAAACGAGCGTTTGTCTGACAGCTAAAAATTTACAAACAAACACCGCAGGATGATTGATCTGAATCTGATCTGACCGGACCAGCCCCTGTGACCTGACCCTGACCTCTTCGGCCACTCTCCGTGACCTGACCACCTGCAGTGACGGTGCTTTATTCGGCTGAAAAAATGGGCTTGTTCCGGCCTGTGTCATAGCATAGTCCGGGTTTGTTTCAGCTCGTTTAAAAATTTGAACTCAGCCAGTGAATCACGCGTCCGGTCAAAGGTCACCAGATTTCCGAGACACGCAACTAGGGTGGCACTAATGACGTTGCCGGATTTGGGTGCATGACCGTCGGGACTTGTACATCCGGCAGCGTGCCTGTAAACGCGTGGTATTTTCGTTTCAGCCTGTGCTACCGAAAAGCTTTGTTTCATCCAGTGCACCGTGCTTCACCGTTTAGTGCTGTCTGTGGGTTGTCCTTAATATTCCAGGATGCTCCGGAAAAAACATGCGACGCAACGCAGGCCTCGTGCAATTTCCTTTTGGCGTACGCCGGAATTGCGGAACTAACGTCACCAAGACAATTATTTGCCAACAAGCCGATAGAAGATCGCATGAACGGCGGCCCGAACAGTTTGGTTGTCTTGTAGTTTCCAACTATCAATATTTTCCCCCAATTTAACCCCACCACGCTTCCGTCGCTGAAACCGATCACTGATGCGACCCGACCGACCATTCTGGTCGGTGTATGCTTATGGTGTGATGTGATGTGTGTATGAACACGGGGAAGCCCATCTCTAGTGTGGAGAGAGGTCAGCCGACCTGCTCCGTTTGTGGTTGACGCCTGTGCCTCCGCGGAGTCGCTTCGGCGCTATGCCGCACCCCGCGCTAAAGGCAACGATGTTGCCAGGTGGTGCTGGAGAGCCTGTCGCCCGTGGTCGTCTTCCGCTACAACAACGACGCCGTTGACGACATGGCCTACCTGGACAACCTCAACTCTTGGGTGAGTTGCCTGCGTCCCTTGCTCGCGTTTTGCAGCAGTTCGACCTTGTTGGGATTTGGCGATGACACGCTGAAACGAGCCGAACAGTGCATCTTCCCGATGAGTCGTCACGTGATGTAGTTATTCCATCGGCTTCGTTTCCTTTAAGTTGTGGATATGAAGCGCTGTAAGTCTTTGTTCTTTATTGCCGACATGACGCTCCTGTAGCCGTAAGGCCCGATTTCCCCCGGACACGCCCACGCTTCTCAACGCTCTACTTGGCCTCGAGCTTGCTGAGGTGTCCTGCACACGCTGCTTTCCATGCGTAATTTTCGTTGTTCATGGCGCATTCCTACAACATTACAGCACGGGCCATGGGGTTTGGCTGGAGGCTGGTCCGTGACTTGCATAAATTGAATATCACGATGTATTAAAAGCAACAGTTGCGTTTCGAAAGAAACTGCGAATAGCGTGCGTCTAGCTAGCGAAGGCCACAGCAACATTTGCAAGGTGCACTCGGCCACTGATCACTGCATGGCACTCTGCCATCCGCGCACGTGGCATGTCTAAAGTGTAGAGAGGGCGTGGTCACGGCCAGTGACACTGACATTTCACCCCCGCGCCCCCCTGTGCTGAGCGCTGAGCGTGACACGGAACAGAGCAGGGCTGGGACCGGCCGGACTGAGCGGTCGCACACCGTCTGGCCACCGTCGACCGCAGTGCTCCGTACATGGATTTCCTGTCGGCAGTTTCTGTCGCGTTTTGGAAGCGAACCGGTGGCATATCGCTCACGCGGTGATCCCCTGATGACACGTACTTGGCGCGGGTGACGAACCTCGGGCGTCGGAATGCGGCGTGTGTTGATTCCTGTCGTGACAACGTTGAACCCAGCCCGTGACCCTCGTGACTCTTGACTCGTGAATCTGCTGGTGACCCTTGAGTTGCCGTAACCTGTTCCGCTAGCCCTTCCATGAACGTACCCCCCCCCCCCCCGCTGGTGACTCATGAACTCGCTGCTCGCCCTTGACCTCGCCGTGACCCGCTAACCTGGATCTGCCGTGACCTGTGGCCCTGTGTGACCGTGCTGTGACCCTGCCATGATTCAGGACCTACTACTTCTCCGATGACACCACCACGACCCCGTGAACCCCACCGTGACCTTGTCGTATGACTCGCCGCCGCGCCGGCAGTTGGGGCCAGATCATGCAGCGTGACCTGCCGGAGGTGCCGGATCCAGCTGCTGGACGTGGCCGGCAGCGCGCTTCTGCCTGCGCTTCTCACCGCTGACCGAACCGTGCCGGCCGCTGGAGGACGACGTGCCCTCGACGAGTGGGCCGAGTGTCTCGGACAGCAGATCGTGAGGGGCCGAGTTGTCTCGGACAGCAGATCGTGAGTGAGCCGAGTGCCTCGGACAGGCAGATCCTGAGTGGGCCGAGTGTCTCGGACAGCAGATCGTGAGTGGGCCGAGTGTCTCGGACAGTAGAGCGTGAGTGGGCTGGTGTTGTCTCGGACAGCAGATCGTGAGTGGGCTGAGTGTCTCTGACAAGCAGATCGTGAGAGGGGGCCGGCCTACTACAAGTATTTACTGTTCACGGACGGATCAGCTCCACAGAGGAAGTGTGGGGGCACCTGGCGGCCGCGTTCCCCATTGGTAAAGCACCGGCCCGAGTTGCCACTGTGACGTCACAAGTGCCTACGTCATACATGGGCAACTATTCTAACTGTAGGAGCTGTTGTGGTGCACCTTCCTGTGACGCCACAGCCCGCAGTAACTGCGTCAAGCACGGCTTGGAGTAGAGTCACCTGTGTATGACGTTGGCACTGCGACGTCATAGGTAGCAACTCAGGTAGGTGCTTTGCCAATAGCCGTCTCGCGGCCCAGCCGCCCGGCGGCAGGGCTGACCACTTACGCGCTGCTCGCACGTGACCCGGAAAAAGCAGGAGAGGAGGGCAAGCGGCAAGCACACGTGCTGATACTGCGACTCTGGCCTGTGCAATAAACCACCCATCACTGCGGCCAGTGCGGCTGGGCGCCAGTGTGTGCGTCTGTGTCTGTGGTGCCGGTTTGTGGTGTGCAGCTGACGCCTGTAGGGCCTGCCCTACAGGCAGCTCATGAAGGGGCTCTTCGGTGCTGCGCTGTTTGCGATGAGCGTTTCCTGTGACGGTGGCTGTCTGCTGAGCCGGCGGTGCTGAGACCCGGTGCTGGTTGCCTGCCATGAGCGGCTGGTTTCTGTGACGTGGCTGGTGCTGTGCTGTGTGCTCAGCCGGCGGTGCTGAGACCCGGTGCTGTGCTGTCTGCCATCAACGGCTGGTTCCTGTGACGGTGACTTTCTGCTGAGCCGTGCTGCCGAACAGCACGCCTGCGGGGCCCGCCGCGCGGAGCCCATGTCTGCGCGTCGGCACGCCTTGACCCGAGCGGACGCGCGGCTGCAGGAGATCCTGAACGCCACGGTGCACACCGGCGCGGTTCGCAGAACTGACGGCGGCCGGCCAGCTGCGGGCCGTGCCGCTGCTCAACTGGGCGGGACTGGGCGCCGTCCGCTACATCCCGACCCACCTGCAGCCGCTCATGGAGGCAGGGGTCACCGACTCAGGTCAGCCGGGGTCAGACGGCGGCGCCGACTGAGATCGGGCGGGGTTGCCCACTCAGGTCAGCCGGGGTCACCGACTCAGGTCAGCCGGGGGTCAGACGGCGGCGCCGACTGAGATCAGGCGGGGTTGCCCACTCAGGTCAGGTGGGGTCACCGGCTCAGGTCAGCCGGGGTCAGGCGGCGGTGCCGACTCAGATCAGGTGGGGTCGCCGACTGATGTCAGACGGGGTCGCCGACTCAGGTTAGGCGGCAGCGCTGACTGTGTAGTCGGCTCCAGCCGCGGAATCGCCGACTAAGGGTGCGGAGGCAGACAGGATCATAGGTCGACGGGGTGAAGGGGTGGGTTCACTAGACGCGGCAGGTGACACTTCCTCAGGTCAGGAGGGTGTCGAGAGGGGCGCCACGGGCGACGGTCACTGGCCCGAGCTAGCGGACCACACGGGGATGCGGAGTTTGGTCAGACCGGTGGCTTCGCGGTGGATCCTCGCGCCGGTCGGCTGGCATGATCAGACTACAGGTGTCACTACAGGCTACGTCACGGTGTCGCACGCTGATTTACGCATCGCGGAGAATGTCCGGGCAGTTATGAGATGGCGAGTCACAGACTGCCACGACCGCTCGCTCCGCAGCCTGTCGCGCTCCGCCGCGATGGCGGCGCCAGTCGTGGGCTGAGTTCCCCGGGGCAGCCGAGACTGCGTGGACGGTGTTCAGTGTGCCAATAGCGGCTGTGGCCAACGCCGTCCTGTGGCACGTGGTTCGCTCCTCTTGCCCGCAGGCAAGGAGGACATCAACAAACTGAATACCGAGCTGCTGACGAAGCTGAAGTCGACTGACTCGGGCCTTTTCGCTAGGTATGGATGCATCTCTGAAATCAATTTCCGACAGCCTTCCCAGTCAGTGTACACATGACGTGGAATAGGTTTCGGTGATATCGATGACCGATTAAGAAGGCCTGACTTTTCAAAAGAACGTTGATACATGAGTCGATGCGGACGGATGGTTATAGATATGAACACAAGCGCTGCGCTTGCCATGTCTCGTCACACCGTTACATGTTGGAGTTTCAAGTGCGTTTGTTGTCAAAGTGTCATTCAATCACCGCTCACACGGTGTTCAGGTGAGTTTCTGGCGGCGCAGGCCAGTTCCACCTACTGTGGCCCATCTGTTGCTGGCATGCGATAACGAGTTCGTTGTGCGGTCGCCAGGCGACGGAGAGGATGGCATGGTCTGTATCCGGTTCGGCATGGTCACCATGGACACGGACGTAGACGAGCTGTGCAGCTTGCTGCTGGACCTCGGAGGGCAGATCGAGGAGTCCTCGCGCTTCCTCGAGACCATGTCCGAGATGCTCATGAAAGGTCAACTTCGCCTCCGGGGCTTGTTTATGATGTTCGGACGGCAGATTTCACCCTGGGGGTGTGGATCGAACCGAATCATCATAGGGCGTCCGAACCTCGATACTTCAGCTGGTTTCGAATACGCATCTTTACTTGAATGGCGGCTTCGGATGGCGCGATTTAACGCCGTTTGACTGAGCTGTGCCAATTAATTCTGTAATCTGAAACCTTTTTGTTATCAGCATGTATTGCCTCCGTTGGCGTCGTCACAAATGTTCATTTCCTCACGCGGTAAGCTGGCATGTGCTTCTTCGTGCACCAGGATTTGCATTTACTGGTGATGCCGTTTACGCAAGCCTAGTACGATGCGGCACTGCGTTACACTGCTCACATCTTTCCACAGCCTGGGAGAGCTGAGATGTTCCCCGGCCGTGTCTTTCGCCTGTCGGCGTGCTGACCCGCTCCGCGCGGCGCAGGCATCGAGGAGGCCAACCAGGACCTGCGCAAGGAGTCCGAGGACCAGCTGTGGCAGGAGGGCGTGCTGCGACACGTGCCGCTGGTGGGCACCATCGTCAACTGGTGGTCGCCATCGCCCAAGCCGGCCGTCCGAGGCCGCCGACTCGACCTGGCCGAAGGTCAGACCCAGTCCCGCCGGTGCAGGGGAGGGGAGGGGTCGCCTGGCCGAAGGTCAGACCCAGCCCCGCCGGTGGGACGGGAGGGGAGAGGGTCGACGGGTCGACCTGGCGAAGGTCAGACCCAGCCCCCGGTGCAGGGGAGGGGAGGGTCGACGGGTCGACCTGGCCGAAGGTCAGACCCAGCCCCGCCGGTGCAGGGGAGGGGAGGGGTCGACGGGTCGACCTGGCCGAAGGTCAGACCCAGCCCCGCCGGTGCAGGGGAGGGGAGAGGTCGACGGGTCGACCTGGCCGAAGGTCAGACCCAGCCCGCCGGTGCAGGGGAGGGAGGGGTCGAACGGGTCGACCTGGCCGAAGGTCAGACCCAGCCCCGCCGGTGCAGGGGAGGGGAGAGGTCGACGGGTCGACCTGGCCGAAGGTCAGACCCAGCCCCGCCGGGCAGGGAGGGGAGGGGTCGACGGGTCGACCTGGCCGAAGGTCAGACCCAGCCCCGCCGGTGGACGGGAGGGGGAGAGGTCGACGGGTCGACCTGGCCGAAGGTTCAGACCCAGCCCCGCCGGTGCAGGGAGGGGAGGGGTCGACGGGTCGACCTGGCCGAAGGTCAGACCCAGCCCCGCCGGTGGACGGGAGGGGAGAGGTCGACGGGTCGACCTGGCCGAAGGTCAGACCCAGCCCCGCCGGTGCAGGGGAGGGGAGAGATCGACGGGTCGACCTGGCGAAGGTCAGACCAGCCCGGCCGGTGCAGGGGAGGGGAGGGGTCGACGGGTCGACCTGGCCGAAGGTCAGACCAGCCCGGCCGGTGCAGGGGAGGGGAGAGGTCGACGGGTCGACCTGGCCGAAGGTCACACCCAGCTCCGCCGGTGCAGGGGAGGGGAGGGGTCGACGGGTCGACCTGGCCGAGGATCAGACCCAGCCCCGCCGGTGCAGGGGAGGGGAGGGTCGACGGGTCGACCTGGCCGAAGGTCAGACGCAGCCCCGCCGGTGCAGGGGAGGGGAGAGATCGACGGGTCGACCTGGCCGAAGGTCAGACCCAGCCCCGCCGGTGCAGGGGAGGGGAGGGGTCGACGGGTGGACCTGGCCGAAGGTCAGACCCAGTCCCGCCGTTGCAGGGAGAGGGAGAGGTCGACGGGTCGACCTGGCCGAAGGTCAGACCCAGCCCCGCCGGTGGAGGGGAAGGGAGGGGAGGTCAAACGCCCAGAGGATGACTGTGATGTGCAGTGGGTGTTTCTTGTGTTCGTCAACCGCGTTTTTCGCCTTCGTTTTCGGTCGCCCAGCTTACGTAATGTGCGTGTATTTATCAGCCGATGTGGCTGCTGCGGTCGTCGGGTGTGTCACGTCCCCTGGAAATACGGATCAGCGACAGTATACTGAGAAGGGAATTGAATCCAGACGCGAGTATTCATGCACCCAACGCATAGATCTCCGGCGCCGAGCCTTGTGTGTTGTCGCTCGCGCCCGCTTGCTGGCGCTGACCCGCACCGGCCCGCAGGCGTGCTGCAGACCACCGAGGAGACGTACAAGTCCACGTCCAGGTCCGCCGCAGCTCGTCGGCCACCGCCGGCACACAGCACTCCAGGTGAGGCCGCCGGCCGCCGCGGCCGCGCCGGCTGCTGGCCAGGCCCCGCCGCGGCCGCGCCCTGCCGGGACCGCGCGCTGCCGGGCCGACGCCGGCGTGCGGGAGTGGCGCGCTCTCGCGCCCGGCTCAGGGGGCAGGCCGCCGGTCGGACGGGCCGCCGTGTGTGAGCTCTGATGTTTTGGCTCGCGGGGTGAGGGGTTCGACGGTGCTGTGAGCCGAAGCGGACGGCGCTCGCCCTGGACTGAGCCGCGAGATCGTGTGTGTCTGCGCGAACTGAGAGCAGGGATCGGTGCGCTTTGTGCAATTTGCGAATTAGAAACTCACACGCATTTCGCTCTGCTGTGGGATTGCACACGCAATCAAAGGGCGCGACCTTGCGGTCTGAAGTGAACACCGCCGTGTCAGCTGTGTAAGTTGCGAGCGTATCTGCTGCCGTATACCCTTCGTGCCCCTGACTGCTCCCGGCCTGGTGCGTCATGTCGAGGACGACAAGCCACCGAACGTCCTGCTGCGTACATTTGTTTTCATCACACTTTGCTGCCGTCACTACGTAGATCTTGCGCGGCGCCTGCTGGCCGGCAGTTCGCCGTCGGTATGTCGCGTGGCGAGGCACACTGTGCGTATCCGTCGCCCTGGCGACCACGCGGGCGTCACATCGCTCGTCGCCTCCGTTGCAGGACTTCCTCCTCGGCATCGGCGTCCGGCGGTGCGCCGGCGCCGCCGACTCCCGCGCGGCCGGAGGAGCCCCCGGCCGCCCCGGGCATCGCCAACCG